GACCTATGTTTCCTTGGGCCTGGCTTACTTCACTTAATATAATTTTTCCAAGACTTTCCATTTCCTCACAAATGGGGCAATGTCATTCTTTCTGATGGAGGCATAGAATGCCATTGTATTTTCTTGCTGTGCAGAAACTTTTTCATTTAATGTAGTCCCATCTGTCCGTTCTTGTTCTAATTTTCTTTTTGTAGCTATGAGAGTGGTATCCAGAAAATTCTTCCCTATGCCTAGATCATCAAGTATTTCCCTCAGGTAGTTTCAAAGTTTCAGGACATAAAGTCTTTGAGCCATATTGAATTGATTTCTGTACAAGTGAGAGATATGGATCATTTCAGTCTTCTGTAAACAGATATGCAGTTTTCCAAACACAATTTGTTAAGGAAGCTGCTTTATCTGCAATATATATATTTATCTGCAATATATATATACAATATATAAATTGTAAAATTCAGATGGCTATAACACCATAGATTTATATCTAGGTCTTTTATTCTGTTCCACTAGTTGTCAAGTCTGTTTTGGGGCTATTTATTTTGTTTGTGTTTTTTGTTGTTTTGTTTTGTTTTACTATGGCTCAGTAGTATACTTATAATATCTGCAACTGTGATGCTTCCAATACTGCTCTTTTGCTCAGAAGAGATGTTGATTGATTTTATCATTGATTTTTTATGCATTAGCTGAGATGATTTTTACAATTATTCTCTTTTATTCTGTTAATAGAAATACTGATTTCTCATGGGTACTTCTAAACAAACCAACCCGGTCCTATTATCTTTTAAAATATTAGGAAATTTGATTTGCTAATTTTAAAGGATACTTTTATGAAGGACATTGAGTTCTTTTATTATAGTGTCTTTAACTTCATGATTATGCTAGTCCTTGGTTTTTGAGTAAAATTCTTGCTAACATCTTTTTGTGGGGAGCAAATTTGCCATGAATTATAATCCTCCTAAATTTGCTCTTCAAGTAGCTGGGACTACATGTGTGCACTATCACACAAAGCTCCAAGGTGATTTTTAAAGTGTAGATAGACTTGAGACAGAGAGGAAGAGAATTTGAAGAGCTAGAAACTCAAGTGAACACATAAATTAGGAGATGACAAGTGACAATTTTGGTGGCTGCAGGGTTCATGGAAGAGAATAGTAGTAAAGATAAATTTAGGTATCTGAAGACATGTAGATTAAATTTAAACTAGTGGACTGAAAGACAGAAGGTTGTATAATAGGGATCTGAGGGGTATAGACACAGGAAGATATGGGAGTGACGGAAGAAAAAGTTAGCTTGCCCCTTGAATTCCCTGAGTCTCAAGCTGTCTTGCCATGAAAAGATGCTATCCAAACATCAAGTAAGATTATGCTAGCCCTCTTTTATTTATTGTGAAAATACTATGCTAGCCCTCTTTTAGTGCTGAGGATTGAAGCTAGGGCCTGCTGACTGATTAGCATGTAATCTACCATTAAGCAACATTTCCAGGCCCTCCATTATCTTTATAAAATAAGTAAGGAAGTATTTCTTCCTCTGTTTTCTGAAATAGTTTGTGGGAGATTGTTCTTCTCTCACTTTACATGCTTGAGAAAATTCACCAGGGGATGTTTCCAGAGAGGGACATTGTTTTGGGGAAGTATTTGGTGATGATTTCTTTGGTAAATAAAAGGCAATTTGGGAGATTTTTGCTTATCACCTGTATCTACTTTTCAAGTTGCTTTTTTCAACAGATTTGTTCATTTTCTCTATGTCATAAAGCTTATTGGAAAACATTGTAATTATTTATTATCATTATATGTCTGTGTTATTTGTAGAGATATTTCTTTCACTCCTAATATCAGTAACTTGTGTCTTTCTTTTTTCTTGACTTTTGTTAGAGTTGTTTTTTATTTTTTTTAATTTTGTTAATCTTTTTTCAAATCTTGACTTTGCTGGTTTTCTAATTGTCATCTCTTCTAATTTATTGATTCCTGCTTTTAAAAAATTATAGTTAATTTAGGTCAACTGCTTAAGTTTGTAACCCAAACTTAAAGTGGTTTTGCCCCTTCATTTTAACAATAGGAATTTGATGATAGGAAGTTCTCATTGGCAGTTCTTTAGTTTCAAGCTACAGAGTTGATCTTATCTATTTTCACAATAATTCTGGGTATTGTCTCTCACATTCCTTCTGTAACTCAGTGGTTATCTTGAAGTATGTTGTTTAATTTCCCTATATTCTGAACTTCTCTATAGGTTTGAATGGAATTGGTATTTACTTTAATTTCATTGTGGTCAGAGAAGATTCTTAAGATTTCAATCTTTTAGAATTAACTGAAACTTTTCCCATAATCTATAATATGGTCTATCTTATTGAACATTTCTTGGGTACTTGTCAATAATGTTTATTATGTTGTTGAGTATAGTTTCTTATACATATGAATTGGTTCAGAGCAGTGTTGATAGTCCTTTATAATCTATTGGGTGCTTTCTGACTTTTTTGTCTATTTGTTCAGAATTATCTTCTAATTGATGAAACTAGAGTAGTAAAACCTCCAGTACGATTGTGTATTTGTCTATTTAACTGTAGTTCTATTAGACTTTTTAATCATATGTTTTAATCATATGTTTGACGTTCTGTTAAGCTGGGCAAGTGGTTCATGCCTATAATCTTAATTATTCAGGAGGTTAAGACCTGAAAGATTGAGGTTTGAAGCCAGCCCTAGCAGAAAAATCTACAAGACTCCGTCTTCAATTATCCAGAAAAAAGCTGAATGAGAAACATGGCTGAAGTGATAGGAGTGTTAGTTAGCATGAAAGCTGAGCACAGCTGGACTCGAATTCAAGCCCAAATATTGACACACAAAAAATTAGATATAAACACATTTACAACTATTATAATTTCTGATGAATTGACTCTAGCATGATTATGAATTTTATTTATAACTTTTCTCTCCTGATTGAATATTCCTACATTTTATATTGTCCATCTCACCTCTATTTTACATTCAATCAATTGGCTTCTTTATATTCAAATTTCTTCTTTTTATAATCTATAGATAGATTTTTTTCAGCCTAATAATTGTCTTTTAATTAGAATATTTAGACTATTATATTTTATGTAACTATCAGCATGGTGAGATTGAGTCTACAGTTTTGCTACTTGTTTCTATATTTGCTTCATGTCTGTATTGTTACTTTGATCTCCTATATATTCTCCTTTTGGGTAATTATGGATTTCTTAATATCACATCTTAATTTCTCAGCTGGCATTTCAGCTCTGCTTTGTTGTAGGAAGTTTCAGTTTAGTATTTTCTTATAACATGTAGGAAACTTGCAACGGGATAGTTCTATTTAACCCCTCACCTGAGTAGGGTGAGGCCTTTTGTACTATTGAGTGATATATTCATATATTAAACATAATATTATATTTAAAACCACAATTATATTTGTATTAAACTTTAAGACAGTATCAGTTGTGGTCTGCGTTTACCCACATATCACTAATTTCAGACTTGCTTTTCTCTAAATATTTTCTAAGAAATTTCTGGACTGTTTCTTGATGTTCAAGCCTGCTGATCTAAAAGTGTCCCTATTTCCCCTTTGTTCCTGATGGATAGTTTCATTAGATGCAGAATTCCAGGAAGTTCTGTTTGTTGTGCATACATTGTTTCAATCTTCCTCCCTACAAACCAGGTAATTTGTGTCTTCTTTTCCCCTGTGTATAATGTACTGCTTTCCTCTAAAATTGTTTTAACTAGAATATTAATTTTAAAGTTCTATTTCCCCAAGCTTGGCTATGGTATGCCTTTTTCTTCATCCTGTTTGGAGTTTGTCAAGATTTTGGATTTGTTTTTCATTAAATTTAGGGAGCTGTGTGTATTTACTTATTTTTATAATAAATGTTCTTATCTGCTAAGTCGACAAATCTATTTCCTGAATCTGCTTTTGTGTTGGAGCACAAGTTTGTCACATAAGTCTGTTTTTTAGTACTGAAACAAACAGATAAGCCTACATTGGCACCTGCAAGCAGCTGCATCACCACTGTATTGTGAATTATCAGACAATAAGCTTCGAGTCATTAAAAAAAACAGATCTACTTAGGAAGGAAAGGTGTTGGTGATGTACCTCAAAAACATAAGAGTCATGTCACTTCAATACAGGATCATGAGATCATTTAAATCCAGGGTGACGTATAATGTGGTTATGTCTTCTGAAAGGATAAGTGTGAATCATCCAGGAAATTTACTTCTGCACATTGGTTCCTGCCTTCTGTCAAGATAGCAGGTCATTGAAAACTGTCATAAAAAGTCTTAAGTATAAAAGTGATGGAAAGTAAACAAATGTCTATACTTACCATCACTGAGCCTTGAAGTCCAAAACTTTTGTTACCCTGGTGATTCTGGAGGTTCTCCAGGTCCGGGGCTGTTTTGGGGTAAAGAGAATAAGAGAGAGGGAGAGGGAGTGGTGCAGGAGACAGAGAGTCTGATAGACATACATGGAGAGAGAGAGAGACATTTTTAATGTGTACATGTTTTAATTACTCAGTATGATGGTCTTTTAGTTAATATCAAATGCCAACCATACAAAACATTCCAGCCCATTTCTAAGGATTATTGGGGAAAATCTTGGTGTGTTTGAACCATAAAATTCTTATAAACTCTGAATCATATTGTCTCTACTCTTAGTCTTCCTTACACAGCCTGCCCTGCCTTTGGTGCCAATGTACACATTAGTCTGCATTGACAAAGCAAACACAACTGCATCCTTCAGCAGGTGGAAGTGAGAAGGCTGCCTGACCATATCATCCTTCCTCAGGGACAGAAGAAGCCCCCATCTCTTTCTCATGGAACTAAGTTTGCATTCTTTTCCATCAGAGGTTATATATACAGAATGGATTACAAGGATATGTGATATGGCAATTTTCTCATAGGAGGACTTATTTATCCATGTGCATGTCATTCCTATAATGATGGTCATACCAGTCTTTCTATGCTACTAAACATGGTTTATATCCTTTCTTCTTTCTCTTACAGGAAAACCTGGGTCTTTTTTCAGCAGATCCAGCTTCCAGCACCTGGAAGACATATGTTAACTATATCGATGACATGTTGCTTGATGGATTCTTTCTTGCCATTGAGTGCTCCCTCAAGTACTTGCTGGAAAACACCGGTATCTACTGACTTATGGGTCTGGGTTATTATTGAGAATAAGCATCAGTAGCATTTGCTAGGTTAAAATGAAGTAGAGTTAAATATTCTGTTATTTCTCCCAGTGCTGTGGTGAGAAGTACACAGAACACTAGGAAAGGGCTTGAGCTTCTAAATGGTTCAAAGGAAAAAAAATATTTCTGACTCTTTACAAATTTGGTGCAACGCCCCCCCTCCTTAAAAACAAAAGGCTCTAAGATCATAAAATCTCTAGCAAAGGAAAAAAGAAACAGAAAGTGAATTCCATCAAAGTCTAGGTTTGTTGTGGGGAAACACAGTTGGTCAGAGCGCCTTCCTCCACAGGACCCACGGCACAATGGGAGAGGCCTTCTGTGCCTGCCAGATCCACATGCTTTCTGAAGACTCTCCAGGAACACCAAGGAATGGTGGGAGCCAGGTTGAGGGGAAGAAGATTTTGTTTTGTTTTATATGTGAAAGAGCCAGGCAAGAAGCAATTTTCAGAAGGCAAATGAGTAATAAGAAGATAATGAACATTCTTTGAAGCTACTAAAAAAAAGCATAAAGGCTTTGAATGGGTGGTGGATAAACTGGGGTAACACGTAAAGTGAAAGGTCTCATAGGGGCTAGCTTTGGCTAGCACAGATAAGGTTGAAAGAGCAAAGAGTTCATGTCTAAAAGTTAAACTTGCACATTCTAGAAGATACAGAACTGTCTGCCAAGGGTCATGTTAAAGGAGAAATCAAAATGCAGAGGTGGCTCCTTGGTTGTTTTTATTTGTTTCTCTGTGTTTTTTTTTTTTTTTTTCATTTTATACTGGTCCTGTGGCTTGAACTCAGGTCCTGGGGGCTGTTCCCTAAGCTTTGTTTTTCTCAAGGCTAATGCTCTATCATTTGAACCACAGATCCACTTCCATCTTTTTGGTAGGTTGTTGCAGATAAGAGTCTCATGGACTTTCCTGCCTGGGCTGGCTTTGAACTGCAGTTCTCAGATCTCAGCCTCCTGAGTAGCTAGGATTATAGGTGTGAGCCACCAGTGCCCAGCCAGAAGTGAATATTTTTGAAACCAAAGGATGAAAGTGAGATGCTCATGTTGCCCACTCCACCAAGAAATGTTCTTCCTCCTCTTGTCTCCTAATAAGTCTTACGTCTGCCAAGATTGTGGAGCCAAGACTATTACCCTGTGTGAAATTATGTTCACATTTTACCCAATGCACTGATTGGGATCTCATGTCAGCTCATGGGGCAAAAGTCTCACAGACTCAAAATACTCTTTAAAATCTTCCAGGTCTTAGAAATCACATGCATGCATTATCGATTAATTCTTAAGAATATAAAGTATAGTAATACACAACATATCATGAGCACAAAAATCCAAAATGCTTGTAGGCTTAGTTTCTGAGCTCCAGAAGTTTTGGATTTTAGATCCTTTTGTATTTAGGATTTTTCGATTTAGGGATGTTCAACTACCAAAGTCAGTGCAAACATTCCAAAATCTTAACACTTTTATTCCTAATCATTCAGATAAGTATTTCAGCCTGTATAAAAGCTAACATTACAGGGGTTTTGTGTTTGTTTCGGGGTTTAGGGATTGTTTTCTGGTGCTGGGAATTGAACCCTTGATCTTGTGTATGGTAAGCAGGTAATCTACCAGTGAATTACATCTTCAGCTGTGTGTATGTGTGCATGTTCATACTCTTCTATGGAACTAGTACAATTACTATGTGGTTAGTAACCCTATATTTCCGTAAGTTAAATGTTCATTTGATGGGACTTTCCTCAGTCCCATAATACTAAGTCATCATTTAGTTTTGAAGACAAAGTCCTAATTTTATATAACTTTGAGGATCCTTCAGCTTTTTTTTAAACTAGAGTGAAGGTTAAACTGTGATAACATTGTCTCTCATCAACACTGTGGCTTAAAGGACAAACTCTATCCCTTCCTCTCTAGTAATAGTTCCAGGTCAGCATTATCATTTTGTGTTATATGTGTCTTCCATCCTGTGGTGTCTGCATTCTGTGGTCATGGCTATGTCAGATCTGGTTTGTGGGAGGGGAAAATGAATAGAGAAGATCCACTTACTGTCTCAAGGGGCCCAGATGGTAAATGATACACTCATTTCTTCCCAGTTACCACCTGAGGGAATTATATTGCTAGACCTAACTATATATGAACTGGGAAATTTGGTCATACATCCAGCAAGAGCTCTATTTCTCAGAAATAAGAGGCCAGTGATTATCAATGAAATTTTTTTCTGCTTAAGGTATCCAACACATAATAGTCTCTTAAATATTTGTGCAATCCAAAAACAAAGTAAGTGAAAATAAATGGCTAATGGTCAAAAATTATATCTTACACTTGGAACATGGTGCCTCGTATTGTATTTTGATTTAAATTTAGCAAGATGACATGGTGTAGCAAGTAATCAGGAACTTGTGAATTATTTATACTGTTTTTTTTTTAAATTTTTTATCACAAGACTACAGAATTAAAATAAGTTCTGTGCTTTTAGAAAAGGAGCCACAAGGGTAGGATCACACCTTGTCCCTGTTATGCCTATGCAAATGAGGAAAGGCATCCTCCCATCCACCTAGCTGCTGCTAGTGGAATTGCATACCTAGCCTGTGAAGATACTGACTACTTTGGCAATGCATGGGGGGCGGGAGAAGGTGGTCATGGGGAGTGATCTTCAGGCCTGGGTGCCTAGCTCTTTTGCTCAAGGCTAGCTTTCTACCACTGTGCTACAGTGCCACTTCCAGTTTTCTGGTGGTTAATTGGAGATAAGAGTCTCACACACTTCCAGAGCTGGCTTTGAACTGCAATCCTTAGATCTCAGCCTCCTGAGTAGCTAGGTTTACAGGCTTAAGCTACCAGTGCCTAGATATTATATATATATATATATATATATATATATATATATATATATATATATATATACATATATATATATATATATTTGCAAAACACTTCCTTTTTCTACACTTTAAAAAATTGTCTTTAAGTAGTTATATCAAGGTGTTGTTACATTTAACAAAGCAGTTTATAAATACAATGAATCTTGATCAATGTCATCCCTTTCACCATTCTCATTCATCTTTTCCCTACCCATGTTTTCTCTCATTCTTCTTAATTTTGTAGAATATACTTTGAATTCTTGACTGCATTCTTCCCATTTACTGGTATTCTGTTGAAATTTCATTTTCCCTTCCTAAGGAATTACATGATTTGAGTTCTTTCTTAAATCTACAATATTTCAGTTAATACATTTATATACACTTGCATACCACCTAACAAGTATATATTTACTTGTAAGCTTATAAGCTAAATAAGACACTGTTTTTTAATTCATCTTTTCCTAGTGTTGATGATTCATGCTTATAATCGTAGCTACTCGGGAGGCTGAGATTTGAGGATTGCAATTCAAAACCAGCCAAGCCAGGAATTGTGTAAGCCTATTATCGCCAAATAATCACCAAAAAGCTGGAAGTCAAGTGGTAGAGCACTAATCTTGAGCTGAAAAGCTCAGGGACAGCACCCAGGTCCAGAGTTCAAGCCCCAGGACCAATCCTACACACACACACACACACACACACACACACACACACACAAAGAAACCTACCTTTTCTCAAAAATAATCAGCAATTTCCAGGAGGCACTTAATGTGGAAAAAAACTGGTTTGGATTGATTGGTCACTGGGGTATGCTCCTTGAGGACAAATGAAGTCTTGAACAAGGACTGCTTTACCTGTGAACTTGGGACTGGGCTCAAGTGGTACAATGCCTGCTTTTCAGGTTCAAAGACCCTGAGTTTAAACTTAAGTACCACCAAAACAGTTCTTTTGCTAATAAATACTACAAAGCTGTCCTCTCACCTTTTTTTTGGCAAAATTAACATGTTCATTTTCCTATATCCTAAAGAAATGCTCTGGACATTTCAAAAATGGTACCCTACTTTGCCCATTTCCCTCATTGGTCATTTTGTTGATTTACTGTCTTTGTTTTTCAGAGTGTAAGGCCAGACTCACCCCAATATTTGAAATACAACTCAGCCTTGTCTCCTCAGAGTTAATTTTCTATCCATCTCTGGAGTCTGGAGTAAAAGGAGGCTTCTATGACATCGTGGAGGGTCTGGTTGTCAGCATTTTTGGAATGTCATCTCTGATACCACGGCTTTCTTCACACAACGGCTCTTCTCATTATCAGGTACTGGCTGCCCCACCATCTACCCTCCAACCACATTGAAACATCCTAACTAGCACTGGAGTAACCTGCCTGCTGTATGTCTCCTTTGCCCAGGATGACCTGGAGAATATGACTGCTTTGGCTGGCATGCGGAACATGCTCATGGAAAGGGTGAAGAGCATGATGATGCTCTGCTGTAACTATCGTAACAACTTCAGCCAGTATTCCTACCTCTACGTGGAGGACAGGAAGGAGATTCTAGCCCAGTTTCTGTTGTACGGACATGTCCTGACCCCTGAAGAAATAGAAGCCCATGCAGAAGATGGCATCCCTGAGAACCCACCCCTCCTCCAGCACTTCAAAGCGCAGATTGACTCCTACGAGAAGCTCTATGAAGAGGTGTGCAGCCTGGAGCCCATCAAGGTGGTGGACAGCTGGATGAAAATTGATGTGCGACCCTTGAAGGCATCTCTGCTGAACATCATTAAGAGATGGAGCCTCATGTTCAAACAGCATCTGGTTGACTATGTCACTAACAGGTAACTTGGCTGTCCTAGCTTTCTTTCAGCATCCCAGCCTGTCTAAGACTACTCCTCTTTCCCCCCCACCCCCATCCCAGGTTCATTGGTTAATGAAAATTAAACCAACTGATGGAGATTCCAGAGTTTCGGAAAATCACAATAACTTCCATCCTGCCCTTTCCTTTATTCACCAGATAATGACCTCTGTTTTATTTTCCACCTGGTGCCCAATGCATGAAAGGCACCCAGTAAGTGGTAAATAATGTAAGAAGCAATAATCACAGATCCAACCTCCTTTTACCTTTCTAACTGTGAAATCTCTTTAAGCCTTGGAAACAGAAGGAGTCTAATAGGGCTCTTAGATTTTATTTCTTACCACTTACTCCCTGCTTTAGAGGATCCAGCTGTGCACCCCAGCTCCCATGTGCCTTCCTAGGCCATTCTAGCCATGCTTCAGTTGGGATATGAACGTCTATCTGACCCCCAGATCCAAACTACTCAGCCCAGCACTGTGCTTTCTAATACAGAACACTGTCCTCTGAATGAATGATCAAAGGTCAGCTGCCCCCTAATCACTGCACCTTAGCCTTGTCTCCAGAGATCTGTCTCAGGCAGAATCTCAACCTCTAAGTCTACCTCAAATTCAGGGAGAAGGGGAGCAGAAATACAATAGCCTATTATGTGACCAATAACATGGCAGGAAGCCAACCTGATTCCTTTCATTGATTTAGTGCTAATCTTGCTCAGTGCCCCACTCTGTGGTGAGCAAAAGGGAAATGGTAAAATTGAGAGTCTCTCTATCTAAAAACAAAACAACAACAACAACAACAAAAAACCAAATGACTTTGGAAAGACGATGCTCTACCAATGTAGAAAATGCCAGGAAAGTATCATGGACATTATTTCAATATGGCTTCCCAGGCTGCCGCCAGTGATTCATGCCTATAATTCTCAAGAGGCTGAGATGTGGAGGACTTCCCAAGCATAAAAGTTCTCTAGCCTTCATCTCCAAAACAACCATCTACAAAGCAGGATTGAAGGTTCAATCACAAGGCCCTGTGTTCAAACCCCAGTACTACCCAAAAATAATAACTAAGAGCTTTCTATATTTCAGGAAGGCTTCTGCCCTTTAAGAAACTCAAAGACAAAATGGGATGTGCTGTGGGCGCTAAGGGAGTGATAGATGAACTATGACTATTGAAGCATTTTTGGAGGAACAGCTGCTCTGTGGTCCTCCATCGGTAGATCTCTCATCCAAAGCCATAGGGCATGTTTTGAAATGTATCTTTTGTTATTATTTTTTTGTGATTTACCTCTGATTTTTTCTCCAGTGGTGGTCATTTTTTATTTTTTTTTCATTTTTTATTGTGAAAATACTGTACAGAGGGGTTACAATTACATGGGCAAGATGAGTACATTTCTTATCAAGCATTGTAGCCTCCTCCTTTGTTTCCCCTTCCCATCCCTTCCCATCCTCCCCCAGTTCCTCCACTGAATCCTCCGATTCTTTTGTTATTATTTAGATAATGGCAAGGTTGCTACACTGGGCACTGGCTGCCATCAATGTTCTTACAGTTCTCAAACACATAAAAGGTCACACTAGGATACACTTATGTCCCTGGGCAGGGAAAAGAGGGTCTTTATCATGGTTTCTATGGCAAGGAATCGGTGAGGAAGTGAAAGCTGGCTTGGGATTGGTGGATTTGAATCATTTTGGTGGGCTCTAGAGCACAAAGATTGTCCCTTGTCTGGCATCTGGCCCTGAGTTGATAGGGACAGAACAGTGGTCCACTGTGTGAGAAGAAGATATAGGAGGTGGCTGGGCTCTGGATTGGTTGGTTTGCACATGAAAGGTATACTCGAAGGTCAGTCATGGCCACCTCAAAGACTGGCTAGGTCTCTGTGTGTACAGTCCCTTTGGCATCTATGAGACCTCCCTCCCCCAGATGGGAAAGGATCAAAAACTCTTGGTGGAGCTGGGCACCAGTGATTCATGCCTATAATCCTCTCTATTCTGGATGCTGAAATCTGAGGATTACAGTTCAAAACCAGGCTGGGCAGGAAAGTCTGTGAGACTTTTTATTTCCAATTAACCAGCAACAAGCTGGATTTGGAACACTAGCCTTGGACAAAAGAAGACAAGGGACAGTGACCACGCCCAGAGCTCAAACTCTAGTACTGGCCCATACATTCTTACAAAAACAAAAACAGTTGGTAGATGCAAGGCATGCGACAGCAGATACTATAGCTGTCTACCAGGTAAGACTTCCAAGGGTATGACAGTTGGTTTGACAGGAATAAACACATGTCAGAACAGATAAATAGCTAAAGTCCTTTCTTTTGAACCTTAGTTTCCACATCACCAAGAAAAGAGAGTACAATTAGATTCTGGTTGGTTGGTTGGTTGGTACTGGTATTGAACTCAGGGTTTTGTGCTTGCTAGGTAGGCACTCCATCCCTTGAGCCAGGCCTGTAGCCCTCGATGGATTTTTATAAGAACCTTGCAGCTTGAACATTGAATCAGTGGCTCCATTAACTGGCTACTTTGCTATATTTCAGGAGAGTGTTTGATTGTTTACTGGAACATCAGGTAAAAATAGAAATAGTATGAAAAATGAAAAACATGTACTGCTGAGTATCTGTTGCAAGGCCCACAATGATGTGATTTCTACCTTCACTTAGTAGTCAGAATGAACCCTATCTTGACTTACATCTTACCTACTTCAACTGCCAGAAATTCAGCATTCTTTATCACCTACCCTTTCTTCTCCATTAAGCTCCTACTGCCTCAATCTGACTCAGCCCCCATCTCTGCCTTACACACTCAAAGGCCTTCCAGGTCTCCCTGTACCTTTCACTAGACCCAGGATCTTTCATCAGCAAATTCCTACCATTTTATCTTTTTCTGATAGTGTATTGCTCTAATTGGAACCTGGCTCTTCTCCAAGGATCCAGCTAGACCTCCAGCCCTCCCAAGTGGAGACTGATTCTTCTGTGTCCCTCTGGCTACCAGATGTAGGGTGGGGAAGGTACCTTTGCTCTTCGATGCTGCTCCAAGACCAATTTCACTGCCATTCTTCCTCAAAATCCTCAGGTCTACTACTACCGGCACAGTACCCACCACTACTTGGTCATTGCTATCGCCACCTACGAAGCTCTTAGTCATGCCTTCTCATCATAGGTCTTCTCAGCTACCCCCTGATTGCCTCCACTGACTTAACATTGCCACACCATCTCCATCACACCTGCCATGTGTAGCTCACCTCTTTCCTCCAATGCTCCTTTGCTCTGCACTGTAATTGCTACTTCAGTGGAGGAGAGAGATGAGTAAGTAATTACTCTCCATCCAGAAGCTCCAGTATAAGCATTCCATTACTTAACCACACCTGGTGTCTTTCCACCTCACTTACTTGGCAGCCCTGCCGTGCAGAATTCTTCAGACCCATCAGGATTTCCATCCCATTGACTCCTCACCTTTGAGTGTCTGTCTTGCTAGCTCCCTGTTCCTTCCCATTCCTACCTTGCAAACCCCTGACTCTGGCTAAACTCAATGCTCCCTTTCTGTCTCTGATTAATTCATCTCTGCTGAAGCAGAAGAAAACCACTTTTCTGACCAAGCTCACATTCAATTTATGAATTTTAAATAGGCCCTCTACTCTTTCCCCAAAAGTTTTCCAGTCTCTTAGACTCTCAAATCCTCATTCTGTTCAGACTTCAAACATTCCACCTGCCCTAATACCCTTACTTTTTCTTCACTGAAAAACTAGACATATTCACTATGTAACTAACCCACAAGTTCATCAACAAGTCTGTCAAACTACATGTATATGAAGCTATATACCCAATTTCCACACCTGTGACAATGGATGGATAAGCTGTCTCTACTTTTAGAAGTCCAACTCTTTTATCTACTCAGAGATGTACAACCTCCTTGCTAAGGTTTGGGTATGACTGGAGTATGCCCCCTAAAGATTCACGTGTGCAAGTTTGGGAGGGTTATGGAATCATAACCAGGCAAATACTTGGCATTGCTCTGAATACGTAATAAAGTGCATCATCTTTTTATGTCTTTAGGGAATGTATTTTCTGTTCCCATTCATATCAGTCACTCAATTTTTCTATTGAGCTTTATTTTTCCCATTTTTTTGATACTTAGGAGTCATGTATTCTTTATCTGATCCTTTGCCAGTTAGATTTATTTTAACTACCCAATCATCTCCCATTTTGTGGTCTGCCTTGGCCCTACTCCACTTGTTGTGGATGGTCCTCTGTATTCACAATTGATTTGGCTGCTGGAGATTCAACCAAACACAGATCAAAAATGCATTTTTAAAAAATTGTGTCTGCGCTGAACCTGGGTAGACCTTTTCCTTGTCATTATTCACTAAACATATCAGTACAACAACTATCTACATGAATTAGATAATAAATAATTTAGAGAAATGACTTGAAGTATATGGGAAGGTGGCTGAGGGTTTATGCAAATACTATTTTAAACAAGGTTGTAACATTTGTGGATTTAGGTATCTATAGAACCAATCTCTCCCATAGATAGGGATGGTGGTACTTTGATGAATAATGCTTAAGGTAGCCAAGTGTATCCATTTTTCCCTATGTATTGTTAAATAATTTTTCCCAAGATCCTAATGACTTTCCCCTATATTCTCTTATAAATGTTTTAGAATACTCTTTCACCCTAAGTAGTCCCTTGTCTATTGTTAGATGAACATGAAAAAATCCTACTTCTCTAGTTTTGTAATAAATCTTGATACCTTGTAGAGCAAATTCCTACTCTGTTCATTGTCATTAAAAATATCTTGAGGGGGTCTGGGAAGGTGGCTCATGGTAGAGTGCTTGCCTTGCATGCATGAGGCCCTCAGTTCGATTTCTCAGCACCACATAAGCAGAAAAAGCCGGAAGTAGGGCTGAGGCTCAGGTGGTAGAGCGCTGGTCTACAGCTGAAGAGCTGGAGGACAGTGCCCAGGCCCAGAGTTCAGGCCCCACAACCGACAAAAAAA